TAGAGATCCCTGGGTCTGGTGTGATTAGGAACTGCCTCTAGAGACTTTGAAAGTCAGTTAACAATTCAAGGAGATCTTTGGTGTTCCAAGCAGGGGTAATTTCCTGCAGGAGCGCACAGGAGCGGAGCTCCGGCAGTAAAGAGCCAGTCGAGACTGACCCTAGGGTTGCGGTGCTCATCTCTGTTTCAAAGCCGAAGAGCCAGCGCTGTCCGAAGACATTTCCGTAGTCAGGTGGCCGGCATGACTAAACACCAAGGCACACGGAATGCTGTTACCTTCCCACCGAAGTGGTACCTATTTATCTACTTGCAATTTCTTGGTTTTGAACTGCTAGGTTGGCAGGAGATGGAACTAGAGACGGGAGCTCACTCCGTCATGCGGCACACTCGGGTCTCGAACCGCTGAACTGCCAACCTTCCACAGCCTGCAGTTCAGCGTCTTAACCACTTGAGCCACCGCAGCTCCAAGGCATCATTAGCCCTCGCCCCAAAAGGTAATCTAATTAGTGGCCATCGACACACTATGAAAGCAGGTAGGCGTAAATGATGAACAGTGGAGGGGGGTGGGGAGCGATTGTTTGCCAGTGATGCACCATTCTGTCCGCCACCCCCCCTTTTTTTCCATTACCCATTTGAAATCTCAAGGACTATTTGGTTTCAGTCATGAAGCTCCCCATGCAAGGAGTGAGTTATACTGTATTAGACACACCCTATAAACTGGCTAGCATATATAGTTCTCTGATATTTCAGATACTATTTGGGCTATGATTAACAGTTATCCTTCCATTATGTTTTAGGCCTAGTGAGGTATTTTTCTCTGTGGGCAGTGAGTACCAAGAGATACTAGCTGCATTCAGACTAGAGATGTAAAATTTCCGAAAATTTTGAAGCTCGGAAAAAACCCCAGGTTTTTTTCGGGGGTTTTCGGGGGGGGGCACGCGAAATTTTCCGAAACATTGAACAAAAAATGCCACGTTAGCACTTCTTTTTTCTTTTCCAGATTGAAAGTCATTCTGTTACTTTAGCAACATAAAATATGACTATGGACATTTTTACTTGGCATGAAATTATCACAACTAGCATATTAAAAATATAGTGTATCCAAACAATTATTACAAACAGAATACCCACCCACGTGCAAAAACAAAACTGAAACCTTTTTATTTTCTTCTGACAATAGCACCTCCTAAAGGAAGAAATGCATCTTG